AGAGTACTTACTTGATGATTGATATCCAATAGTTGCTTTCTCATGCACCGAGTAGTGAACACTCCTATCACAGAAAATAAATAGTAATATGACTTCTAAAAACCTGTCAAGACTATGGATATCTGGATAAATAACTAAAAATATGACTAGTATTATTTAGCAAACTGGTTCTATATCTAGACTGACAGTCATTCATTAAGTATTCACTGGTTGGTTTGGAATGATTGTTTTTGTTACTAAGTGCTACTCCCCCATACATGATAGGACTTTATACTCCTATTTTCCTCATTTATCTCTACTTCTGCTGCACCAGTGGGACCTTTAGTTTCAGAAAACAGTTTCCTTTTCTCTTGTGGTCAATTTTGATTTTTATAGTCACAGTTTAGTGCGTAAATAATTTACACTGTGATTAAAATATTTTTCTGGTCACAAAATTATGACATTTCTACTCACCTTATCGGCCACACTCGTTGCAGCAAAGATAATTTGTTTTACATGATAAAGCCATTTGGATTCTGCCAGTTGTTTTAACCAGCGTGCATCATCCGGCAGAGGAAAGCATGCTTCAAAAACTTTGGTGAGTGCTGCACGCATAGCATGTATATTTTGTATATTTAAGAACATGTATTGAACATTTTCATAAAAGGATGGATTTTCAATGCCTCCACCGACACCGATATTGGCTATTGCGTTGACCTGAAAGAGTGAATATTAAATGGTGCACATCATTCACAGAGTCCACGCAAATTAAATGGCAGAGTAATAGACTGACATATTTTTTAAGCTCAAATCATAAATTCATATTTGAGAAAGATACCCCATCCCATAAAACAGCAGTTCATGTTTTAAACATAATGAGTGTAACAGGATCTTCACACTTAAGTTCTGCAGGAGCAGTGGAACTGTGGCTGATTAATCTAGGGAGGTAACTATCAACCAATAGGTCCCGGGTTCGAACCGCGCTTCACCTACGAGGTATTAGTATTAGCCCTCACACAATAGGTGTGGCTCATCGCCTACTGCACAAACGCGCGCAAAGTTGGTCAGCGCATTTCAGTTATTCCCAAGGGCAAAGGAATGATAGAAACAATTATACAAAATGCAAATACTGGTGCCAAGTTATGAACAGTTAGTTTATGAGGTAAATTGCAGTGGTGCAATAAATACCTTGTTACCTGAGGGCGAGCATCGAAGATCAGAAGATGATTGGCATTTGCATTGGCTATTCTAAGTTGACGAACAAGTTCTTTATCATCAGAGCTACGGCGACCTTGGACACCGACAAGAGGTTGACTTGCTCTGGTCAAGCTTGCTTTGCTTTCAGGATGCAGCCAACTTAGAACTGGTACACGACCACGACTTCGATGAGGTGCACACGCCACCAAAAGTTCATCTGTTACTTCCCAAGGAACAGCAAGAATAGCTGGATACGTATCACATAATCTGTAGTCTATGTTGATCTGTGATTTAAAAATGACATATTAATGTTCGGAAGTATATTTTCGAAGCGTAAAACCAAAACACAACAATTACATCATCATGAAAAGTAGATGTTAAATGTAGGCAATATTGCAAGCGATTGCGCAACAAGGAAATTACAACGTGATATTTATAGTATTATGGAACAGGTTATATTTTAGCAAACTGCATAACGAGTGGTAAGGCAAATAAAGTGTTTTATCGAGTCACCAGTCATAAACAGCTATCAGTTACGTAAGAATAATAAAGCACAAAAACATGGGAATAACAAGAGGGAGAAGGGTACAAAGTAATGCTGGAAGATCCATCACATTGACGGCCATGGTAATGCAAGTGGCTAGACACATTTCCTTTGAATACAAAGGTAAGGTTTATAAAGGTGGGTTGCAATCGCTTCTGCTGTGAAGTAAATTAATTGGCATGTGCTAAATAATTCTAAATCCTTTGCTAGTATCTACTTGCCTGGTGTCAACTATCTGTCCAAGTATAGAGCACGTAATAGTTTTAATTCATCCTTAGTCATCTACGACAAATCGAGTTACTTTACTAGTCATTGTTCAATTTACTAAAGAATAACCTGTTCCACATTGTTATGATTATTATTTTCCAACTGCGTATATTTACTCTGTTGATTAGTTGCACCTTGGTTTCTCAAACTATATAACAGTTCCCAAGTAAGTGGGACGAAAGCTAACAGCAGTCTTAGTCAAACTGACCGAACAAGGTCACACCAATTACCTATAGACTTAGTGTTTTCTTACACCGAAGAGCTAATGCAGCAGACAACGTTTCAGCTGTCACTTATTTTTTAAGCCGGGTAATTTCATTTTGTACTTAAATATTCAAAGTACAAACTGACGGCACTACGTTCAACAAGTTTTATCCCTTTTTAAATTCTTTGATGTCATTCAGCACACAAATGGAAACCCTGTTATCAATAAATAGGGTTAAAACAACGATAAAATACTTAAGGAGCATGACATTTTGTTCATAAAAGGATAGCATAGAACATAGAGTAGTCAGTTTGAACCTTTAACTCAGTAGATAAATGTGTCCAAGTAAAAGCAACACTTCCGTTAAATGGGTCCAGAATTTGGACCACCATCCTATATCTCTCGTACAGTCTTCAGACAAACAGACAAATCCACGTGGAACCTCACACACAGGTGCACCGACAGTAGTACATAAAAAGAACAGTTGGAGAAGAAAGGAGTGATATCAAAGTAGACAAAGGTGTATAAGAGAACAAGCAGTTTGAGGATATAGGTTGGTGAGAATATTCAGCTTTTAGAAAAAGTGCTAAGGAGTGAATATATCTACGCTATTGTGACCGATTTTCAGCTGTTACCAAGAGTCCTTAACCACTGATTCCTATCGTCTCGACGACCCCATGCAGGCAGTCTTCATCTAACACGGGTCAGGCCAAGTCACAGACTTCATCGACTGGTATCACGCCTTGTTCTGGTCACCCTGAACCCTCTTCAAACCTAATCCAACTTCCGCCGGCGTGGTACGTCAGGGTAGGAGGTGGATACGCATGCTTAAAGAATGTCCAAGCCACCCCAACTGAAGGTTCACAACTTCATCAAGCGACTTGCCCATCTGCCCTAGTACCCTTTGCCTGACATCAGCATTGCTCACACGGTGATTCCACCAAACGCGAGCAACGCTACGAAGACATCTGTGATCAAAACACAGTAGTCGCTCCATGTCTTTTACTTTTAGCCGCCATATCTCAGCCATATAACAGGACCGGACGGACTGGATCGCATTATACTCATCCATTGATAGATAGTCGGATATCTCGCTGGCGCTGCAGGTGACATAATTTGGGAAATATCAAACGGACCTTCTGTATCCGAGCTGAGATTCCCTCAACAACCAGCCCGTTCGGGTTGATAAAAATCCCCAAGTAAGTGAGGTGGTTGATATATTCCCTCACTTTACTCCCTGCCATCAAACTGGAAATACTTGCAGGAGACCAGTACTGGAGAATCATCTTAAGTTCAACAGTTGAAAAACGCATGCCAAACATAATCAGATTTCTGCTTAACGCATTCAGAAGACTCTGCATTATGTCAGTGCCCCGGCCTAGCAGGACAATATCACCTGCATACTACAAGTAAAACATGACCTCCAGGGAGGTAGGTCAATCCCTGTGAAGTCACACATACCTAAGGTTATGTCTATCATTACATCTACAAGGAAGTTAAACAGAAAAGGTGACAGTGGACATCCCTGGCAGGCGCCACTAGTTGTCGTCAATTCATACAGCAACTCTCCATAAACCCTGACCCAGGTGCGTGGGTTCGAGTAGACAGCTTTGATTAGCGTTGTGTACTTGCTCAGTACTCCTTTCACAGTCAGACACTATCACAACACTTCATAGTCGACTGAGTCAAATTCCGCCTTCAGATCAAGGAGTATGAAATGTGTCGACCGCTTACCGGTAGGTATGCTAGTTTCAGGATCTGTCGGAGGGTGAAAATATGATCCATGTACTTTCGTTTAGGTGTAAAACCTGCCTGGTTTTCTCAAGCTTCAGTTAGGCATCGGATAAGTATGAAGCCCAAAATCACTAATACAACATTAGTCAAGCTAATTCTCTTATGGTTGTCACAAGATTTCTCCTCCTTCTTATAGACTGGGATGATCAGTGAAGTATCCCAACCTGATGGCACTACCTCCGATTCTCATACACTACCTAGAACCTCCGTCACTCTAGTCAGCAATTTCGTACCTTCATCCTTGAAAACTTCAGGTGACAAACTGTCAGATTAAGCTGATTTGCATTGTTTCAGGTTCGATACAGTTTTCTCAACTTTAAGGAGAGTTGGAGGACCAATATCTACGTCCCATTGAGATTTGGGATGAATACTGGGTGACTGAAGAGTTACTGTGAGTCAGTCAAACTGAGCTTCAAAGTCTCCCGGCCAACTTTCTAGACACTTGTTTTCAGAAGCTATCAATGTGTCACCGTTTTCGATGATTTCATTAACCACAGTCTTCTTGCCAGTATCTTTAATAAGTCTGAATAACTGCTGAGCATTACTTGATGCAAGTGCTTTTTCCACTTCTTTTGCTTTCGCCATCCACCACTGGTCAAGATCATTGCGAAGGCTCTTAGTTAACTTACGTTTCAGCTGCTTTCACTATTCATTGTGATTAATGCCAGGTTGGAATCAGTTCAGATGAAGTGGGGGGGGGACTCACTGGCTTTCGGTAATATTTGGATGTAGGTCACCAGCTGTCTTCACTGGTGTTCCTACAGCGGACTTAATATCACACCAGGTTTCCTCAGGATGAGCATTGCTGTCCCGTTCAGATAAATACTTAGCTATCTCCTCTATGAAGACGTACTTAGTGTCTTCATCTTTCAATTGAGCATGTACAGGCTTCATTGTCACTAGCTTTTTGAGACCAGTAAGGTGCAGACGTACGTGTGATAGTACAAACGCGTGCTTGGAGTCCAAAAACGTACTCCAGAAAGAGCGGCATTTCTCCACAGATACTCTCCAACAATGACTTATAGTAATATGACCTATCTGTATCTACAGTTAGTTTGATGTCGGTGGAAAACAAGTGAGACAGTGTTTTCCCCTCATGCTTAAGTTAGTGCTGGCCAGAAACAATTGATTACTGGAACAAAACTGCAACAGACGATCACTATCATCAGTTTGTTGGCATGGGATTCCGTGTATACCTCCAGAATGTCTTTCCGATCGGCTCAGCTACCCAACTTGAGCGTTGTAGTCACCTGCCATTATAACCACATCTGAATATTTTGCTTTGAGTAGAGAAATTGACAGTTTCTCATAGAATTCATCCCTTGCACCATCCAATCTGCAGTCCGTGCGTAGGTGGAGATTACGAATAGGCGTCGGCTGGTTACACGATCCTTCCTAGCTTTTACACGTTCATTCAATCGAGAAACATATAGATGGTTGTTGACTGGTATCAAGTAAAGAAGTGCTTTTCTTGCTGGATCACTGAGTGCTGTACATAAACTCCCGAGTCCACAACAGCTGGCTGTTGAATCTCCAGTCATAAAGTAAATTTTGAGATGAGGTAAAGTGAATAATTATACTTTAATCCTGTATGCGCGTCTCAGAAACACTCCAAACATGCATGGTTCCAGACAGTTTTGACAAGAGACACCTGTTGTTTGTGGTTGGAAGCTCCCACATAAAACTAGCAGCGTAGGTTTAAGAGACTAGGAATAGTGTTTTGCTGACTTGGATGGTTAGCAACAATCGTAAGGTGGAGAGCTGACGAAACTTTGAGGGGCTTAATGTTGGTACCAGGAAGTAAAGGTTGAGAAGACAAAGAGAGAGAAGGCATGTTATGAGTAGTTGAGATTTGTATATTTCTGGAAGAGTACGCGTGTTTAGTATTTGCAGATTGTCCATGCTGTGAATGTATTCTTTGCAAGGTAGGTGAAAGAGAAAATTGATTATTTCTGAGTGACGACAGAGCCCAAATGACATCTGCTTGAGATCCGCCAAATACAGCTTTTACTCGGAAGTTTGAGATTCAGCTTTAGTTGATTTAAATCCAGATAGAAAACGCATTCCGTGGGTAACAATCAATCATCAATCATTATCAACATAGGACCAGGCATTACTGCGTAACGGTCCAAGTTGCCACACCTCACGTCAGTTCATCAAGTAGAAAGGTAGTGAGGTGAATGATGAAGATAAGTGAGTGCAGTCAAAATACAAAGTACGAGAAGAAAGGAGAGAGGAGGGACAAAATGGTGGGATTCGGTATAGTGTAGTTAAGACGAGGATAACATGTGTATACATCTGCGCCACTGACATCGGTTCTCAGCCATGTCATCACCTAGTCTCCAATCACTGGTTCCTCTTGTCCCAAGGTCCCCAACCACCTAGTCTCCATCGTCCTACGTGGCTTAAACCAACAGTCAGAGACTTCATACATTGGTGCCATGTTTTAGTCTGGCCACCTCGAGCCTTTTTTCAGCCTGGACCCACCTCAGCCAACATTGTGTGACGAGGCAATCGGTGACTAGGCATACGTAGTACGTGTCCCAACCATCTCAGTCGATGAAGGTTCATAACCTCGTCAACTAACTTACCTTTTCTCCCTAAAACTCTACACCTGACTTCTGCATTACTCACGTGGTGACACCATGGAATACGTCCTATACTACGAAGGCAACGTGGTCAAACACCTGAAGCCTTTTTATATCTTCCACTTTCAATGGCCATGTTTCACAGCCATACAGTAGAACAGAGCGGACTGCTGTGCAGTACACGCGACCCTTAATAGACAAACGGATATCACGGCGGCGCCACAGGTGGCGCATATTGGCAAGAGCCAATCGAGCCTTTTGTATCCATGCAGAGATCTCATGGGCAACTAACCCTCCACGGTTATTCCTACTTCCCAGGTAAGTGAAGTGGTCAACACACTCAACCACTTCACTCTCTATTGTTAGCCGTGGCACCGCTGAAGACCAGTCCTGGAGCAAAAATTTGCACTTGGGTGGTGGAAAACGCATCCCAAACATTCTCAAATTCCCGCTCAGAGTGATCAGAAGACTCTGCATCTTGTCAGCGTCTTCACTTAACAGGACTGTGTCATCTACATATCCTAGATCTAACAGATTACTGCAAGACAGGGAAGACTGTGGGAGACAACGTTTTCACATTCCCACCCTTCCAACAGAAAAGGTAGCACTAACTTGAACTCCTAGATATCCGTAGGAAACGTCTTCCTGTTATCACACTCCGCCCACCCAGTACTTCACCCCGGAACCCTCTCTCTTATTATAAAGCAGCTATTTACACCATAGCAGTGAATACTTTTTGTCTTACTACTGTCCAACAGACATCTGTGGTATTGTAGGACGTCAAGAAAAAATGTTCCACCAACATAGCACATTGAGTCATTGCGATATGCCTGCACGAGTACCATGTCAGAGTAGGAGTTATTGGTCAAACATGGATGATGCCGCAGCCTCATGTACTAGAATGACACAGCTTTACTTATTTTAATAAGCTCCTCAATCGCTCTACACTGTATTTTAAAAATGGGGAAAACCATACCAATCTGGCGGTGAAAAATAAGTGGTCAAAGGGTTGTCAATCTGAATATACGAACCGGGTCATGTTCGATCACAGGAATCACGATAGTACCTGAGGAGTACAACAATTACATAGTGAAGTTTGAGAAAGCCGAAACAATTTGATAAGTAAAAGAAAATCTGTGTAATACTGACAAGAAGCGAGACTGACTGACTATGAGCAGTATTTAAAAGCTTTTATGCATCAGTGCTGAGTCATTGATAAATAGCTAATCGAAAAATTTCTTTGCTAGGACAGTTGCTTCACAAATTTCCAAGTGTGGAGTTTTCACGCAAAGCTTTATGGCTGACGCCGTGGGACGAAAAACATTTGCGCTGGGTTAACAGTTGGCAGTGCCTCACGACTCCAAGGATTGACTCTGGGGGATCATGAAACTCAATGGATCAAGACACTATTAGACAGGCCTCAGAATCGAAACCAATGGTGTTTAGATCGAAGCTTTTTCGCCTCCGTTATCGAAAAGAAAAACAACCGCAGTTAATTCTTTCTATGTATGTTTAAAATAACATCTCACATGACCCACCGCTTTGGCTTGTTTCCCACTTTTTTCTCGATTGCTTTTTTCGAATTATTACTTTTGATATGGCGTATTTCTTGTTAGTTGTACTGTACCGAACTTGTCGAAAATAAATATAATTATGATCGGGCGCTTTAGCAGTCTAGAAAACCTTCTTAGTTTTGAGAGATGAAACCCAAGAAGAAGTGATCCAAGAATATTGACTCAAGACGGAATATGTCGACAAAGACAAAATCAAAAGGATTATGATGCGGGAAATAATACGGAAGGTAGCACTGAATTGAAAATAAAATACTAGGAACAAGTCAATGTACAAAATAAGGCATTCACAAACGGAAGGCAAGAGGATGAACACACCGGCAAATATGCTTTCAGTTTTCAAGTTACGATATTCATAGTCACCAGTTTTAGCCACATCACAAGCTTAAGTTAGATAGCCTTAAGGTTCATCATTAACCTAATATTATTTCACACCCTACATCGCAGCAAAATGGTGTTTGCTTCTCCAAATGAGAAGTTTGGAAGAAAGACAAATTAGACTTTGGACAACCAGGAAATACACTAACTACAATGTTGGCCTAAAACGGCATGAAATTAAACTCTATTCACAGTTGTGCTAATTGCACATAAAAATAACTTACCTTGGTAATCCTCCAACCATTGGTGAAGATATTCTGGCGATGATACTCCTCTTCTGGATTATAAACATCCCAACCATCTACTGTAAATATGCTGTTCTCAATACACTTTGTACCATATAAATATGCGAACAAAGGCTTTTTAGAAGAAGCAGGAAATGTGTAAGCTTTAAGGTTCTCACAAAACCCCGTGGCTCGTCCATAATCCTATACAGAGATGGTAACAGGACAATTTACTTACCGCTAAGTTAAACACTAACTCTCGCAGATCCTTGCAGTTAATATGAAGCGAAATATTTCCTTGGTATGATTTTTGCTCAACATTCCGGATGGTTCCCAGTGGAAGCTTTAGAATGAAGCGTTTGATCTCCGAGCCAGGGTATATACGTGGTGCACGAGCATGACCTGATTCGCCCGATAAAGTTATGAATACTAGTCGATAATTCGTTAGCTGCCGAATGAATAAAGTTGAAATCAAACCTCAACAATACCAGATAGGTTAAGACCAGCGTAAGTTATATGTGAGGCCAAACTATGATCGATCCTCTCTTCCCCAGGAAGTTTGCGGTATGCGCGGTTTGTCAAAAAACTGCTGTAGGTTGACATGCAGCAGTAAAGTCGTCTGATGAAATTACAGTTAATCTCCTAGTGTCGAAAAAATACAGCTTCAATCACGTAACACCATAATAGAATATTCCGCTGCACCCAACATCTAACATCCAATATCCCATACCTTTTCAACGAGCTTGTGTAACCAAACTTCAAACTTTGTGTTGAAGAATTAGCGAACTGCGGTTCCTTGGGTTCTACGTCTGTCTAATTGGAATACGTTCTGAGTTTGGAATGGTCACAATTATCTTCCCTGTTCTGAAAAACCTGAAAGGATAGAGATACGATTAATTAATTAATCTGGTCTCAAGTTAGTATTACTGCATCTGATCTGGAGAAATCTTCTCGAGTGTAGCCCATCGGTACCACAGAACTCGAGGTGTGCGTCTAGCTTCCTTTTAAAGGTATCAGGGGATGGGGCTGTAACGACTGCTGAAGGGGGGGAATTCCACAGCTTACAGACTCTAACTACAAATGAGTTAGCACGGATCTGTGTACGTGTACGGGTGACCCATCAAGTCGCTTTTCCGACTAAAGCTTAGAAGGGATCTGTTGGGATGGGTGATGTGGTACATCATGATCATACCCCCTCTGATCCTCCAGTGTTGTACTGGGTGCAGCTGAAGAGCACCGAGCGGTCTGGGTACGGTTTGTGCCGTAACCCAATCACTTTCTTTGTAGCTCTTCTCTGTACCCGTTCTAGGATGGCTATATCCTTTTTCAAGTATGGGGACATCAAAAGTGAATTTTTTTCTAAATGAGGACGAATGTACAGAGCACACACTGCGGTGAAAAGAGGAGTTAGACACTCTAAGGTTCGCGATAGAAACTCCAAGATTTCACAAGCCCTATTGGCTGTAAGGCGACAGTGAATAGAGGGTCCTAGTGCATCATCTAGTGTAACTCCCAGATCTTGTTCGATCTCAGAGTGACAGATATTTGTTTCACCTAGAGAGTAAGAAGTGGGACTGCGTTTATGTTTGCCAACTATCACAATTCGACGCTTCTTCGAGTTGAGAGGAGGCAGGTTTTCTGTAGCCCAGTTAAGGTTTTTCTTAAAATCCTCCTGGAAGATCGAAATATCCGTTGGTTCCTGTATTTCCCTCCGGATCTTCAGATCATTGGCATATAATAGTGAATGTGAATTAAGGACCCCCGGCAGGTCATTGATAAAAGCGAGAAACAGTGGAGGGCCCAGTATGGAACCTTGAGGCCCTCCACTCAGCATCGGGAACCAATCAGATGAAGAGGAGCCGACTCTAAATGACTACACCCTGGTGTGCAGATAGTCTCTAAGCCGGATTAATAATTTTCCGTGTACACCCATGAGCTGGAGTTTCTTACAAAGGATATCGTGATTTACCCTGTCAAAGGCCTTAGAAAAGCCAAGCAAACTAATGTGTATAGGCTTTTTCTTCTCGGCAGAGAGTGTCCAGCCATTCCAAGTCAATGTTACACGACCTTCCTAGTAAAAAGCCATGCTAACAGTCGTTTGGGATTGATTTGTGAAGTGATCATGAAGTGAGTCATTTATGACTCCCTCCATGACCTTTGCGACTGAAGAGATCAGGGAGATTAGTCTGTAGTTGGAGCCGAGTGGCTTGTTTCCACCTTTATAAATTATGACGACAGCCACCCATTTCCAATCAGAGGGTAACCTGCCTTCCAGAAACGAGCATTTGAAGAGGTTTTCTAGTGGGGCACACAGAACTTCAGCACACTCCTTGAGTGCTCTTGGGTGAATACCATCGATTCCTGGGACTTATTCGGATTCAGTTTCTTTAATATTTCCATAGTTACAGAGGGTTCAAACTCTATATGACTTAGTCCCTCTGTGATACGGATGTCCAACAGAGGCGGGGTTTTGTCTCCCAAATGACAGTTGTTTTGGAACTCATGGGCTAGTAAGTTTGCAACTTTGGAGTTGGAATAGAGAATCTCCAAACTAATGGGGTCCTGTAAACTTAGTGAACTGCTACTCTTCTGTTTCATCCACGAGTACAGTATCCCATGACTCCCCTCCAGGATTCTACAAAGTTGTGTCTGGTGGTTTATTCTGTCATTTCTGATCCTTACTGAAAGTTTGTTACGGATGTCTTTATAATTTAGCCAGTCAACAGGTCTATTAGTGCACCTTCATAGATTCCAAGACGACCGTTTATGCCGTTTTAGTTTGCGCGTGCTAGACTTAAGCCAGGAGGGGTAGAACTTGTTAGTTCTTCTTGCGATCAGAGGAGTGTTGTCTTTTATCATCTGTAGGATTATATTCTCCAACAGACCCCATCTGGTATCAAGATCCAGTAGGTCATGGCAGTTTAGGCAAGCGGAACCTTCTAGATCTTGCCGATCCTTCCCAAAATCAGTCCTCTTGCAATTCCTAACTAGAGGTTGGTCGGGAACGGGTGGCTTAGATGCAGAAATGTTGAAGGAGATAACTGCATAGTCACTTAGGCCAAGAGGGCTGAAAACATTCAAGTTGCTTACCCCAATGAACTGATTTATGAAAATATAATCTAGTCGGGATGCCTTACCGTCAGGCCCCCAGTGAGTAAACTGGGAAACATGTTCTGTCAAGTTTTCCAGTAACAATTCCCGAAAGTCTTTTAGAGCAGTAGATGGACTTTCTGTGGTAAAGAGTTGGGGAAAGTCAAAAACTCTTATAATGGGGACCTGTGGGAAGTTCAGTTCCAGGGCTCCTCTAACGGACTGTATTAACATTCTATTTAGCGTGGCATCAGCTGCAGGAGGGCGGTATAAAACTGCAACTAAACACGGACCTCCGCAACACCTAATGCTACACCAGAGGACATCTTTAATACCAATTCTATGGGACTGAATCTCATGGACTTTTAAGGAAGGCAGGTGTAAAGAGCAACGCCACCTCCTGAACCCTCCGGTCTATCCTTTCGGATCTCCACTGATTTATGTCGTGGATAAGTTCGGCAGTATCGGTACCCGAACATTCGGGAATCCCGTGTATAATTGCTGAGCAGCATGACTCTTGAAAGTGAATCTCTTGCTGTTGCGAAGGGCCAGTTGATTTCTTCTTGCTCGCTCCTTGGTCTTGCGGAAAGGTTCCAGATCTTTGGCGGATTCTGATGCAGTAGACCCAGCCACTCGTCTGCTATAGCTCTCATTTACAGAGCAGGAAGTTAGGTGTTGGTTAGTTTGCCTTGGACTGTGATGCAGTCGGCTTCTTCAGATGTCGAGTTGCCAGACAGTTGTTGGGACCAGTCGCTAGAGAGGGTTAGGGACAGTGAAGAGAAAACCTAGAAAGTGTTTGTGTGAGTGAAAGAGGAGAAGAAAACTGAACTAATGGAGTAATCCACTTACACCCAAAGAAGGTGAGTAGGGGTGCAAAGGTATGAAGAACTTAGGTAAGTGAGGCTAACTCATGGCAAGTGGAAGGTGTGAAAAGGGCTCAAATGGTCACAGTAGAAAGAAAACTGGTTGGGGTGGCTTGACATCACTTTGTGTTCCAGTTATATGTGGGTAGACCATGAGTCTCTGCATGACTGTCTAGCCTCTTCTTGAAGCTTTTAATAGTTGGGGCGGAGAACACCTCTGCTGGTAGTGCTTTCCAGTACCTTCAGACTCAGAGGAAGAGAAACTGTGAACGCATATGCGTTTTTGACCTTTGGTGGGCTATTCTCTTGGGTTTCCTCGAGGATCTCCGTAGTGGCCACTAGGTAGAATTCCTCTGGCCGAGTGACTTGGATTACTCAGTATTTTGTAGGCCATTATTAGGTCGTCTCGTAACCTTCAGTAGCTTAGAGAGTACAGGCCTAGGTCTTTCAGTCTCTCATCATTTGGTTTTCGTTGCATTCCAACAGCCCATTTTGTGGCCCGCCTCTGGACTTTCTCCAGTAAGTTCGCGCCTTTTTTCAGCTGTGGTGGGGCAAAGACGTTATGGACCTCTAAGTGGGGCCGTACGTTAGTCTTATAGAGCTTCAGAAAGAGTTCTGCGGTGACGGCACCCAGTTGTCTACGCACAAAGTGTAGTGCACCCTATGCTTTTGGGGCATCACCTGGGTGATTGGAACTGGTGTCCAGTTTCTCCGTTACCGTTAAACCCAGGTCTTTTTCTACTATGGTATGGGATAGACGTGAACCACAGAGATGGTAGGACACTTTCTAGGGATCAGGAGTGCTGAAAAACATGGACCGGCACTTATCCAGGTTAAATACCAGTTCGTTATTACCTCCCCATTCTCCTAGTGTTTTGAGGTCGTTCTGTAATGCCATAGATTCCGCTTCTCAAGTTATTGCCCTCCATAACTTGACACCGTCAGCATATAGAAGAATCAGCGAGGTGATATGTTGCTGCGGGTCATTCACGAACAGCATGAACAACAGTGGACTCAGGATTGTTTCTTGTGAGACCCTGGGTGAGGATATTCTCCAAGATGAGTAGGCCCTATTGAGTTTCGTGCAGAACTCCCTGTTGTCTAAGTAGTTCTGCAGCCACGATAGCACCCTGCTGCGCATACCTAACTCAGCTGTATGATGTGCTAGGATCATGTGTGAGACGATGTAGAGGGCTTTGGCGAACTCCAGAAGAATTGCGTGGACCGGGATCTTGAGATCTAAGCATGCTGTCCAGTGATCATGGGCTGTCAGGAGGTTGGAGGCACAGGACCTACCCTTCCGGAAGCCATATTGAGCGCCACTGAGGGCTTGCTTTTTGTCCAGATATTCTCTGATACGGTCGTCTATCACACTTTCCGTAACTTTTGACATTATCGGTAGACGTGCTCTGGTTCTATAACAGTTGGGATTCTGCCTGTCTCCTCCTTTGAAGATGGGAGAAAGGATAGCCCGTTTCCCACCCGCGGGAGCTTCCGTTCCTCCAAGGAGTGTTGGAAGAGATCATAGAGTGGGCCACTTGGGGTACTTGCACATTCTCTCGGCACAGATGGGCGGATGCCATCACACCCTAGGGATTTCCCGCGCTTAGCTTTGACAGCTTGTTGAGAACAACAGCGCGAGTTATCTGTATTTCGTGTAACTCCACAGCATCGGGCAACGTTGGGGGCTGTTCCTGCAGTTGGTACGCGTACCCTCCTGATGCAGTGTTGAGCTGTATGTCAAATGTGGGGCTCAACATTTCGGTGATCTCCTGTCCAGAGAGGTTATCTCCTCTCGGACCTGTTATGACGCATGCCCCTTGGCTCGTCGATTTTCTCTCTGCTACGAATCGG